TCGTTAATTTAACTTCCCAAATCGAATTATAGCCGGCTAATTTGTATCACACACTCCCCTTATTAATGGCAATCTATTGTTGTCAAAGCCAAAATTTGAAAAAAAATTTATATGTATAATTATTTGAGGCAATTTAATAGAAGTACATTCTTTAATGAGCATTATTTGTGAAGCCTTCAAACAAGCAGCCTTGCTACAACTCAGAATTTAGCATATACTGGAAAAGGTAAATAAATATTTAAAAAGACTGCTTGCTCGTATCAGGGCAAAAGACCAAACGTTCGGACTATGCACTTTAATGTCTATTGAATCAATGGATCTACTTTACAATCCCCCCACCCCCCCGATTGTTACTTTGTGAAAATTAGTAAACAGTAAGAAAGTAAACAGTAAACAGAAAACAGTAAAAAAAGTAAACAGTAAACGGTAAACAGTAAGAAAAAAATCAACTGAAAAGCACGCTAAACAAAACAAAAATAAAACGAAATGAAACAATGACGTTTGTTGAATAAATCGATTAAAATGGATTATAATTCAATAAAATTTCAGAAAAAAAGTTTTCAAAAATAATCGAATATAAATTAATATACTCGATTATTTATAATGGTTTATTTTATCTCAAAAATTAGTAACAATATAATCCATTTTCAGCCGATTATAATCGCTTCTTTTTGATGTGCATGGAGAGTGGCAAAAAAATCCATTATAATCTACTATTTTCTCTTACTGAGTGCAGGGAGATTTATTATTCCGCGGTACGAAATCGCTCCAGATCAATCGAGGCAGCTGGTTTTATTGTTCTGACTTTCGATGAAAGTGAGAAATAAGAATGCCCGGGGTGGTTTTTCATTCAGACCTATCATAGAAAATTTGACTGCATATCGAAATCGATCCGGAAATCTGGAATAATACTTTGATAGTTTGTTTCAATACGCGAAATATTTATGCGTGGCAATTTATCCGCACTAATAATTGTTTCAAAATGATTTGAGTCTTGCTAATTGGTCTTATTAATTCCATAAACGACTCAAGACTTTGATATTATCAGACTAAAATTTTTAGTTTGTCAATATTTCATAAAAGAAAAACGATTCGAGAACATAGGCAATTTGTGGGCAGTCAGAACATTCAGGACTTTGCCCTAATTCGAGCAGTCTTTTAATAAAACAAATGATCTGCTAACGCAACTTAGAACGATATAAATTGCGCGTTAAGTATCACAAAATGGCCAAATTGTCCATTTTCAAGCCCTTTTATTTTCACAATACATGATTTGTTGGCACAAAATTAAGTACAACAAGACTGCTCGTATATCAAGGCAAAGCCCTGAATGTTCCGACTGTCCCTGAATTTATACGGAATAGTTTTTGGGAAAATAAATTGTTGGTTGAAAATCTGTACATTTTGGTCAATATCAAAGTGTAAAGTTTTGAGTCGTTCAAAATTAATAAGACCACCAATTCGCTAGCCTCAATTCAATTTGGAACGATTTTGTTTTGCGGAAAAATTGGACAGGCATAAAAAATTCGCGTTACGCTCTCAGCATTATGAATAAACTCTTTAAAGCGCTTATGGGATATTTGGCAATTTTCAAACCACCAGAACTTTACAAAAAATATTCCAAAATGAAATATATTTTTTTAAATATTTGAAATCAGGAGGAAGTCGATATCTTCAATCAGGTATAGAAAAATTTGTTGAAAATTATTGTTTCGATCGGTGAAAATTGACAGAATAAAAAAGTCCACATCGAGCATAAAATTCCGGTTTCTCCGAAAGTCGGAACAATAAGAGTACAGAACACACAGTGAAAAGGAGTCGTACAGCGTCTATTATCAGCTCAACATGATCAACAAAAGGATGATCCTTATTGGTCGACAAATCTCAAAACCCTAAGTTATCTTGACGCCAATGAAACTGAATTTGAGAGGAAAGCACAAAGTGAAACAAGACTGCTCGTATCAGGGCGAAGCCCTGAATGTTCCGACTGCCTTTTAAGGTTTATGGAGCAGCAGTAATAACATAAAAATTTAAATTTGAAATTTTTAACGAAAATCATCCCCCCACACGCCAAATGAAGTACAAAAAGACAAATCAATTATGGCAAATAAGCTTCGTTCAACCAATTTGGAACGATTTATAAGACGGATTAAATCGCGCGTTAATTGTATCGCGCGTTAATTGTCCCAAATTGGTTAAAATGGCCTGTAACTTTACGAAAAATGATCACAGGTAAAATATCTTTCCAAATTTAAGCTCAGGACAACAATGGCTTTCGAATGATATAAAAAAATTCCGTAAAAAATGGCTAGTTAAAAAGTCGAAATTTGTCTGAAGAAAAAAAAACCCACCCCGAGCACAAATATTCCGTTACTTTTGTATCGAAAGTCGGAGAAATAATTTTCAAGTCTGTTCAAAAGTCAAATCTGTTCAGCTGCACTCTTTCTCATTTGAAGAAAAAGCTGGATTGACATTTAGTTCCGCACATTCTCTGGTGAAAACATTCATTTTTTGAAGTAAAACTCAAAAAAATCCACCATTGAACTAATTAAACCTGTTTTTTTTTCGACACGATTTATCTATTTAGTTTCAAGCGCTAAGTTGATTGAACGATGATGGCTCTAAATTAGACAATAAGATGAAATTTTTTGTTTATTATGTTTAAGAAGATGATTTCTATAACTGCTAGGTTGAGCTCTTTTCAAAAGCCTTATAAGATTTTGAAAAAGAAAACAAGTGACTACGAACTTGACAAAACAGTTCTTTTATGATGTCAGATTTTGCAAGAGTGATTAAGTAAAATAGGTAGAATGGATACATAGAAAAACTAAATTGTCTTTATATCAGAACTCAGAGATTACAGTATTTTTTTTTTGAAATTTCATTGAGCTAAGCACTTGTAAAAGTAGATTAAAATTAGGAGCTAAAAAGAGAGGCTATTTTCTCCCGCACAGGCAAAATGGATTGCAATCAATTCTATTCAGATAGTTCAGGTAATTCTATTAAAAAATTAGCTCAAAAACATGGTTTTTTCTTGAAATTTAAAGCATCAATTTTTTGTACAATACCTAAACAGATTTGAATCGAACCAAATTATATTCTATCAATACTTTTTTAAACAATTTTTTCTACAGAACACTTTGAGAAAATATTTCGAATAATAAAAATAATAGTTGCTTTCTAATTGATTTTTATGCAGATGTTTGACTGACAAAAAATATTAGAGCAACTAAAATGCATTTTTCTTGCTCAAAATTGAATTATGAAATTACGCTAACAATTTTGCTAATGACACTTAAATTAAGTTTCACGTTTCACTCAAACGGTTTTTTGACACCGCGGGAATTCTTAGACTGCAAAACATTATATCAACCTAGAATGCATTCTATAACGACTGTATTAACCAGATCAAATTAAAATCGAGACTGATCATAGCAAGACAAAGCACTGAATGTTCGGAGTGCTTTTTAAGGTCTATGAAGTAATGTTTGCTTTAAAAAAATTGACAAAGATTTCAAAAACAAAAAGAAAAACTTTCAAATGTTTTTTTTAAAAAAATTTTTGGGTTTAATATCATCCCCACACGCTAAAAGCAAAATGACATATTTCGCATGTAGCAAAAACTAGTAGACTAAATATCATGCCACTATTCAATTTGGAATGGTTCTAACACGGATAAAATCTCCTCTTACGCGTTATTACCATGAAATATATCACGTGTTAATTTTCCCAAATTGGCCAAATTGACAATCCTTAAAGCCTCCTAACATATTGAGCTCAAAATGACAATATTTTTGAGATGACACCAAAAAATTTGCTGAAAATTGCTTGTTCAAAAGTCGTATTTTGTCTTGAAACAAAACATCCCGAGCACAAACCTTCGCCAAAAAATGTGCTGACGCAAAAACGAACAAGACTGCTCGTATCAGGGCGAAGCCCTAAATGTCCCGACGACTGATTTTTAAGGTTTGTGGGGCCGGATTAACATAAAAAAAACTAAATGTAGTAAAAATAAAATGAAAAACTTTTTTTTCTAAAATTTGAAATTTTATACGAAAATCATCCACCCGCCATTTAAAACACAAAAGGATAGATTTTGCTCCTTGTAACAAATCAATTATGGCACATAGGCATCTTTCAACCAATTTGGAACGATTTCTAAGACGGATTAAATCTCCGCTTACGCATTAATAGCGCGAATTATATCGCGCGTTAATTGTCTCAAATTGACCAAAATGACCATCTTTAAACCCCCATAACTGTTCGAAAAACGATCAGAGGTGAAATATTTTTTTTTAAATTTAAGTTCGTAACAACAATACCTTTTGAAGGGTTAAAAAATTCCGTCAAAATTGGCTAGTTAAAAGGTCGAAATTTGTCTGAAGAAAAAAAATACCACCCGAGCACAAATATTCCGTTACTTACGTATCGAAAGTCGGAACAATTATATTTTGACTCTATTGGCCAACCGCTGTTTGCTGTCGAGTTTGTGGGCTAAACTTTAAACGCTGCCAACGAAAACCGCAGGCAACCCTGATCGATGACTTTGCTCGACCCTGTTCAATTTCTTTCGACCCTGATCAACTTAGGTATATTTGGAAATAACAAGTTAAAATGCCGGATTTTTTTAAACTTTTCTAATGAATCTATTTCACGGAACCAGTTTTATCATAGTGAACAATTTGATAGTTTTGATCATATGCTTCAATATAGACGACTAAGGAGCTCAAAATTAGAAACAGAAAAATGCTGTGTTTGAACAAAAAGATATCTCTGTAGATTCGATCTAATCCGTGTCCTCTCAATAATAAAAAAGTTAAAATTAAGGAAACAACCAAAAAATGGTTTGAAGAAATTTATAAACTCGAGAATGGTACACCAGGCCCTAGAAATGTACCTGTTTTTATGACATGCTTTCTCTTTGATAAACTTAAGGCTTCAAATTTGTTGCTATAGCAGCCAAATTAAAAATGTTTAGCATAACATGCAAACTGACGCACGTGTAGTTAGTGTCCTCCAGTTTGACGTAGTCGTTCGTTATGGCCCAACCCGCCACCATCATCATCATCAGGGAGATTATCGACGAGGCAGAGACCATAGCCAGAGCAGATCTGGCTCTCCTGGACAGCCTAAAATAATAAAAATCATCTATCAAAGATCGTACGTTAACTTGTTTAACGGTTTTAGGAAATTCTTCTTGTAACTTATTGACAATTTTCAAACAATTATTTCGAAAAAATTTTTGCTTATCTATCGTGTTTGAAAAAATCTATCTCGAAACTATCTCTATTCAGACTTTTTTATTTCGTCTGTTTTCAATGATAAGACTGCTGGTATATTAGGGCAAAGCCTTGAATGTTCCGACTCCCCCTTAGCTGGTGTCGAATAATTTCTGTTTAATAAAACTTTACTGAATTTTGAACTGCCAAAATAAAAAAAGTGCTAAAATTTAAGTCCAATTAAAATGACATTCAGTCGAAACCTTCGTTTGCCTCAATCCAGTTCGGAAAAACTATGACTGTGGGGTAGTTTGCCATATTAATTAGCGTGTTGAAATTATTGAATATTAATCCAGTACTTGCAATCAAACTTAGGCTGGCAACAAGCATACTCGCTTAACAATCCAAACAGTTCTAGATCGATACCCATACGCAGTCAATGTAAATTTGGTCTCAAAAAAAACCACGCCAATTATATGTATTTCTCACTTTCTTCGAAAGTCTGAACAAAAGTGACGGAATATTTGCGCTCGTGGTGTTTTTTTTCTCCAGACAAGTTTCGACTTTTTCATGAGCAATTTTTGACAGAAATTTTTTTATATCATTCAAATCAATCAAATTGTATTGTTGTCTTGAGATCAAATTGAGAAAAACAAATTTTTCTCCTGTGATTGTTTTTCGTAAAGTTATGGAGGTTACAAATTTCCGATTTGGCCAGTTTGGGACAATTAACGTGCGATATACTTCGTGCTATTAACGCGTAAACGGAGACTTAATACAACTTACAAATTATTCCAGATTTGTTTTAGGCGTGCTAATTGGTCTATTTGATTTTTGTTCCGACTTTCGATACGAAAGTAACGGAATATTTGTGCTCGGGGTGGGTTTTTTTTTCTTCAGACAAATTTCGACTTTTTAACTAGCCATTTTTGACGGAATTTTTTTATATCATTCGAAAGGTATTGTTGTCTTGAGCTCAAATTGGAAAAGATATTTCACCTGTGATCATTTTTCGTAAAGTTATGTGGGTTTAAAGATTGCCATTTTGGCCAATTTGGGACAATTAACGCGCGATATATTTCGCGCTATTAACGCGTAAGCGGAGATTTAATCCGTTTTAGAAAGCATTCCAAATTGGTTCAAAGAAGCTTTTTTGCCATAATTGATTTGTTAAAGGAGCGAAATCTATCACTTTATACTTTATATGGCGTTTGGGGGATGACTTTCAAAAAAAAATTCAAATTTTAGAAAAAAAAATTTTTCATTTAATTTTATTACATTTAAGTTTTTTATGTTTTTACCTCTCCGAAAACTTTAAAAGGCAGTGCAAACATTCAGGGCTTCGCCATGATTTGAGCAGTCTTGTATCACTATGTACTTTACATAATGTGTGGGGTTATTATTTAAAAAAAAATCAAAAAAAAAATTTGGAAAATTTTCAGTTTTTTTTGACAATTTCATCAATTAATTTATTTTAAATTACCCCATTGAAATTAATTTGCAGTAAAAAATGCAGAGTTTCGCCCTAATACGAGCAGTTTTGTTTTTAAAATCTTATTTTCTAATGAGCTTGGCGTTGAGATAGAAGATTTTTAGTGGCACCTTGTCTTCTTCACTCGCAGATGGAAGAAGACGATGCTGTTGGCCATGATGATGAGCACAGCTGGCAGTCCCACCAGTTGTCCGAACGATCCCACTAGGGCTATGTAGTATGTCACCCAACCACCTGATTGGTTCTATAAATAGAAATAACAGATGCAATGATTGAAATGAAAAAAGCTTTTCACATTTTCATTATAGTCCCTTAGTAGCTAAAAAATCCCCTCAAAAATACCCGCTTGGCTGCTCAAAAACGAACGGTGTTGTAGTTCGGAATCGAATTTTCGGAAACACTTCATTTCAAAAAGGGAGTGAAACAGTATCGAAATAGAGATGAAAGCCAACCAAAAAAAATCAATCATAATCATCTTATATCTTCTTTGCAAGAGTCTCAATTTTAGAGCAAAATAACCCTCCACAGATTTGACGTAACACATGGAATTTACTTAATTTTGAAGTTTTGTTTAAAATCTGAGATAGCCTTAAATTGTCATCGTATAAAAAATGACTCACCCTTTCGCATCCACTGCCATCAAACGCCTAAAACACAAATTATGACTTGTTTTGGGATAAGATTTAATAATAGATAACAGCAAAAGAGAGAAAACAGTTCACTAACCCGGTCCATCAGGGTGAAGATCGGAAAGTTCGCTGAAACAGACATTAGATTGAGCCGATTTCGGGTTTTTAAAATGACGGTCAGCCATAGAGGAATGTTTTCCCAGTAGTTTAAACTCCGGAAGTGCCTTCCGAGTGAGGTGTGGTTCAATTAGTACGATAGTTGGATCCCCGAAATAAGATTGTTGAATAAGGTAGTAAAGAATAATTAATGCGCCTTAAAATATTCGGAAACCGATTTTGCACCTGTTCCCTTGTGTTTCTGAGCTTTCAGTAAGAATGAAAGGTCTCATTTTTCCTATTAGTTTTTTAGAGACTCAAATGTCCAAGTTGAACCCAAAATCCACTGACAAACTGATGCATGATTGGATGACTTAGGTGAATGTTGTTTGACTGGATGACTAACTGGTAAAGATGAAGATAGAGTAGATGGCACAGACACCCAGAGTGAAGCTCTTCTTCTTGGACATGCCTCGGTAGAACACAGGGAACATCACTGCAACAACATCACAATACACATTGACATGGCATCCGAGACACAAATGAACCATAATCTGCATTGAGTGCTCGTCAAAAAAAGGTTGATGATGCACCGGAACTCGAACTCAGAATGAAATTTCATAGGAACCCGAACAGATCATAACAAATTGCGAAAAAAAATTGCACTGAGTTTTTTGAACCTGGAATTTTACAGAAGTTTTTTTTTAAGTCACTGTTCTAGAAAAAAGCAACTCGATGCAGTCACTGTTTCAGTAAATATCTTATTCAAGAGCAACTTCAATGCTAGACCTTATCTGCCCATTTTTTATCGGAAGCCTTTCTAGGCCGTTTTTATGTCTGAGACGATTCAGCGAAAACAATAAAATGAACAAAACCCAGCGTTAGAGCTTTGCAATATCTAAGCAATTGGAGTAGGGAAACTGCCTTGTAATCGGAGACTAGGCTTTTTCTAGTGAACAGCTTTCTTACAATTTGTACTTGCTGTTCTTAATTGCTTTAATATTGAACCTCAACAAACTCAACAGGTTAATTCTCAGTTTTTATGTTTGACCGTTTTTATCTTTGAGACGATCTAGCAAAAACATTTGAAATAAAACTGAACTGGATGTGTTGAACAACTAAATTTATGAGCCGTTTTTTTGCTGTGACAAATGCTTCAAAGTTGTATCAACCGATGAGCTGGTTTTTAAAAAAAATACTTTTTTTTTGCGCGCTGAGTCATGCTATGATAAACTTGACTAATTTAATGTTTTATCGCTAGATGAGGATAATTTGATGAAATCTATGCTTTTGTAAACCAATTTTTGGTTAAAAAATGTTATAAACTTTGCAAATTTGTTGCTTTGCGGTTTTTTCAGTTTGCGAACGACTTCAAGCTTTGAAAAAAACTGCAATACTTCTAAGTTTCTTTTTCTAAAGTTGTTTGGTAAAACACACGTTTAAATCTGAAGACAAAGAATAAATTTCATAACCTAACTGGTCCGCATGCCAATTTTTAAGCGGAAAAGCACTAACTTAGTAAGTTATATTGGTCTTAATGATTTGGTATTTTATTCCAGAAAAAAATTTACAATTATCTGCGCTCAACGATGATGTTTGTAGCTTGAACTTTGTCTTCTTCTAGAGTTTGTTTAAATTCCTTTTTTAAAAAAGAGGGCAAAATTCAAAAGTTGAAAAATATTCAAAAATTTCGATCATTTTTTCAAATTTTTTATAGTTCTTTTTCACTTTCCAATCATCTATTGGTTGTCTTATTAAGAGTCACTATATAAAAATCTATATACCACCAAGACCTATATAAGAGTAGTGAAGACCCTTTCATAGGTCTTGGCAATTTTTTGCATAGTTTTTTTTCTCATGAAGAAGAGTATGTTTTTGCTCTTTCACGTATATTTTTTCACGACAAGGCATGAATGAAAAATAAATTATTAGAACACATGAAAGAAAAAAGAAATCGTTTGCATAGTTTCGCGCACTTTTCACAATTTTCTGGGCTCTTTTTTTTGAAAGAAGCCCGTTTATAACAATCGAAAGATTAAAAACGGCTCTTTTTCCGTTTCCCCCAACCTGCAATTTTTTTTACAAGTAAAATTACTGTTCCCGTTAACTGGTTAACAAGAAAATTGGCATGCGGACTGATTGGACCATGACAAACATATTTACTCTTCATAATAAACCTTGTAAAACCACTCATTACATCCTAAAATTGATGCTCATATGAGGCGGGGAAAAAACGAAAAAGAGCCGCAAAAACAAACAGAAAGAGCGAAAACATACTCTTCAACAGTTAGAACATAGTTGAAGTTGGCCTCGGTCACAAGAGCCACCATTGGGCACTTCGTGCCCTCAGGCCGGGCTCTTTTTCCCTCAGGCATCTTTCAACTATGTTCTAACTACTACAAAGACTTAAAATGCTTTTATAACTGCAGATGTGCATTCATACTTTCTAATGCATTTATGAATGCATGTAGGCATATTTGCAAGTTGTGAATTCCAATCAAATTCAACTGCTAGAATTTGCGTTCTCCAAACGCGAGCGTGAAAATGGCGCAAAAAAACCGTCGTTTCATATGTATTAAACGAAAAACATGGTTTCTGCTCTCGTACGTTGCATGAGTTAAAGAGCTGATATCGATTGCAACGTCATAGAACCTTTTCCCCGCTCAGCTTTGCTTGAATGTTCTGGAACTCTTAGCAGTTTGAATTTGGACTATTCTAGAATAAAAAACGCTTGTCAGGACAGAGACTTTTTTTGCTCGTAATTTCTTAGAACTTGAAATAGTTTTAAAAAACTTGAAATATTTTAAAGCTGGATCGAGTTTTTTATTTGGCAAATTATATTTTATATGCGAACCGATTCATGCTCTCAAACTTTTTTGGGAGATCATTAGCCTCGAAGTTGTTGGCATAGGCAAAGCACCCTAAAAAATCTTTAAAAAATGACATTTTTAGTTATTACTCAACAAATCATAATTGGATCTTTTTTATTAGCCTTGTTTTTGTGCTCATTTGAAGAATTTAAATACACGAAAAACACATTTATATATTTTAATCATCCTATGATAAAGTTCAGATCTTTCATTTCAACTCGAAAAGTATACTGTTTCCGGCTGAAACAAACTTTCCATACCGGTGACATTTATCATGCGAGTGCACGCCACAACTTTGTATGGCAAAAAAGTTTATTTAAGAAATATCAGGTCTTTTTGAGGCTCAAATTTAAAAAAGTGTGATGATACTTATCTACTTTGCTTATGTAAAATTTGTTATTTCTTATACTCAGGTAAGTAATTTTATATTCAGAAAATAATTTGGTATTCAGCAACCGGCAGCTCATTTTCGGAATTTAGATCAAGATTAGATCAGTTTGAAGATACAGTCCTTCAACCTAGATTTATAGGCCCTTTTTCACTATTTGGAAAAAAATGCCAGAACTCTTGAGCCGGCGTGACACTGTTTCTAATCGAGTAGAATTAGCAGCCATAGAAGAAGCTCTATATTTAAAAATCCCCCTGATAATATTTTTCAAGTGAAGCTGTAGACTTAGAAAAACAAATAATTTTGAATGGAGATCATTCAAGAAAAAATGGCATGCCCAAAAGATGCAAACTTTTATAAAAACAGACCAAAAAAGTCATTTTTGGACAGATTTGCAAAATGTTGACCAATTGTTGAAATAGCCTACTCAGCAAATTAATAAATAAAACCGTTTCAATGTTTCAGTGGCACAACTACTTTTTGTCTAAAGAGGTATACTTTTTTTGATAAAAATTTTGCTTTTTGGCCACGAGTAAATCAGATGAAGATGAAAATTTTTGGTTTAGTTGTTAATTGAGATGAATGTACCTGATACGCATCTGTCGCATGCGGATATAGCTAGGCCCAGAATGGCAGCCCTGCTGGTGGCCCAGTCCAGGTAGGTGGTGAGGCCACAGGTGAAGTCACTGTGAGCCCCCAGATCCATCCACATTATGGCCATCATATTGTCCAGGAGCCCATCCATGAACAGAGACCAGAAGTCCCAGAAAGCCACCACCTACACACAAACATAACAAGAATATGAGGCCACCTCATATCGAATTACAAATCAAGATAGATTCCTAGGACTCTGTTAAAGTCGGATTTCGTTCGCAGCCTCCACGCACAATGCAAGATAGATTCGCTATTTTTTCAGTATTTTTATACGTTTGCACAGTTTTTTTTTCGTTTCTGAGTATCATATGAGAGTTGAATTGAAATGGGGACCCCAAAAGCGATAACGAACTTCTCAGTCTGGTCTAATCATTGGGGAAAAGTTAACCTACATAGTACCCTTTAGACAGCTCTGTTTTGACAGATTCTTTTAAATTTACCAAACATCTCTTATAAAATGGACGATAGAATCAATTTAAAAAAAAACAATATATAATAATAGGTTCTAAATCAGTTGGTATTGTTGCTCATAGCGAGTTTGAATGAAAAAGAGATGGCATATTGAAAAAAAAAATTGTAAACCGGGTCGAGGTGCTCACTGCTATTTTCGACAGTCTCGGCCAAAGTTCTGTATGTTTCGTCCTAAACATTTTTGCGTATATTTTGACAGTCTCGACCAAATTACGGTGGATTTCAACTTTCTCGTCCGACAAAACTCTACTCGACTTTGCTCTGCCCAGTTCAACTGTTTTTAGACAGTATCAACCAAAAAAATGTGGTCGACTTAGCTCGACCCAAGTGAGACATATTTCGACCGTCTCCACAAAAATCCGGCTTTCAATGAACATGAGTTATGCAATATTAAAAGTTATATTTTATGTTTAACAGGTAACTAAAGTGAAAAACTATCCTCTGCTGTATCTGAACTATCGGTGCCAATTTGTATCAAGCTTTGAACCTTCTGAACTTTTGAACCTGTAAGTTCTCCCAACGATCTTTCGGAACGTGTAAGTTAAATGCCTCCGAAACATTTGTGGGAAAACTAGAAAATTCAAAAGATGAAAAATTTCAAACCATGGTATTCGGTTTTAGTGAAGGATAAACTCATTGAGCGCACCTGTATGTGCGTAGCAGCCGACTGTGTCAGTTCGCCTTTAGCGATGAGTTGAGTTGCAGTCACTGCGGCCAGAATGTTGCTCACGAAGCCGATGGGCGTCTGGACGAAGAAACTCACGTGCAACACAGTCTCGATCGTGTACCAGTAGTCTGGAATGAACCCGTCCCGTCCAAAATATTCCTGTGTCGTGGAATCATCTGTGAACAAAAAATTCTTTATGCGCTAGTCTTTTTTGGTTTCTCCTCCCTTCTGAAAGTTGCAAAATGAAGCTGGCGGTAAGGGGTTTGAAAAAAAACAGAAATTTAATTAAACTTCGATACTCTTCCATGGTTGGATCAAATTACGCAAATTACTTTTGTTTTCCGATTTTTAATGACCAATAAATAAATTAGAAGTCAGAAGCGCAAAATTAGCTATAAGAAAGAAAGAAAAAAGTAAGAAAGAAAATAGGTTATATAATATGATTATAATTTGAGGTTAACAACTCAAAATCTTGTCGGAAAGAAACTAGGAAAGGACCGGCAACGAGATCATTAAAACCTTAGGCTGTTGCTTGTAAACTTTCGATATTCATAAAATGATAGATATTTCAAAATCTTCATTCAAATACTAATAAAAAAACACATATTCCGTCACTTTCCTTGAAACTAGGAACAAAATCATTTAAAAAATTTAGAGAAAGGACTGGAGCGGAATTCTTATCTTCGCCCCCGGTTCTTCGGGAGCGCGTTATACAAACTACATTATCGGAAATTGTTTAATCAGAATGTTTTTTTCTCTCATCGCACACTATTGTTTTGACCCACCTCCACTATTTCTCCAGAAGCTCAACATAATATAACTTTGTCAACAATTGATCCGGTAGTTTTAGCGTAATTTTTGATAGACTAAACAGCCAAAAATCATCGATTTTGGCGTAAAATTTTGGGCCCGCAAATTACGTTGCAAAATGATAATTTTATAAAAATTCTGTTATGTTAGTTTTGTCTTCATCATTTTTTAAAAGTCAACCCAATTTGAGAAAAACGCGTTTTGACATTCAAATTTTGTTCAAATTTTCCGGATAATGTATTTAGAAATTTGATCATAGTAGAAATTGGAAGAATCGCCTAGCAGTAGAATTACTAAAAAGCTGAAAACTTACTGAGGTTGGTGAAATTATCCATGAGAACAAGTTGAGGGGTAGTTGATGACAAAACCGCCATTTTGAAGCGAGCAGGATAACTCTCTCAAATTAATTTGATGCTATTGAGGGTATTTGTGGAAAATTAGATTTGACGAGCTGCTGATTTCTTTCGAAGAAATGAAAATAACTGATTTGTTTCTGGGAGTTTCTTTGCAGAAAAAGACTCGGGGCAACTCAGGTCATTGGCTGCTTCCTATTGGCAACAAATAAATAAACAATTAATCAAAGTATAGTGAGCATAATGAAGACGTAAAACGAAGATCGTAATTTCATTGGTTCAAAACTAATAAGGGTAATGTGAATTTGACCATCAGAAAAAGAAATATTGAGAGTGAAAAAGGCGACGACGCCTAAATACCATCTAAGAGAAGAAAATATAGGCTTTGATGCAAATACACAGTAAGTCAAAATGGCATTCATTTGGCTGATAACTTCGCTGTTAGACATTACATTTTTTCAAAAAGTTTTTTTTTCCACCGTTTAGAAAGTTCTACCGTTTCTAAAACAACAAAGCAAAACATTGCCAAAGACTGGTTTACTCAAAATGTTGTGACCTGTTTGATTTATATTATTGACAGACAGTTTCACTTTAAAGCAACAATTTTTTTAAAAAGTTTCTGCATAGGAAAAAATTGCCGTTTCTAAAACAGCGCGACAAATTTTTGCTAAAAACAAGTTAAGTCTACCTATGGGTTCAAAGTCCAAAGTATGTTAAACAATTGCATTTTGTCGTTTTGCAAGTATAGTTGAAAAAGAAAGAGGACTGCTCATATCAGGGCGAAGACCTGAATCTTTTGACTGCCCTTATCTATGGAATAGTTTTCATTTTGAAAAAGTAAACAAAATTTCAAAAAAATTTTGAAAGTTCTTTTTGATATTTTTATCGGAAGCCATCGCCCTCACGCCATATTAAGTATAAGTTGATATATTTTGCTTGTAACAACAAAATAACTAGACTAAGTAGTCTGCCTCAATTCAATTCGGATCTATTTCTGATCTAAGCTGGATGATTTTGCCACCTGTGTCAAAGAACAAAATATCCCGCTTTAAATGGTCTAATTTATGATTTTAAAACCCGTATAATTTTCCAAAAATATATATATATCACATGTGAAGCATCTTCAAAAACTTATGTGTATGTATATCTATCTGAAAAAAGGTCTTGTTCCTTTTTAGGAACAATTTCTGAGCCAGATTAGTTTGCTCGCTCGCGTAAATAGCTTTATATCTAGTAAGCTTTTGTTATCTGAAATAAAAAAAATGACCTTCAGAAAATTCACCTACTCTGGAAAATTGATCACAGGTGAATGTAATTGTTTTTATAATTTCAACTGAACACATCATTAGACTTTAATTAAAATGAAAAACCCAAAAAATGTAGATCAAAAATGTAGATAAGTGGCTAGATGAAAATCAAAAACTGTCTCAAGAAAAAAACAACTGTCTCAAAAAAAGCACTAATTTCAAAAATAAAAACAACGAGCGTTAGCAAAAAAAATCTAAAGTTTTGATGTTTTGGAAAGATCAAGCAAGTAAAACAAAGAAGCAATTTCAATTTGATCAAACTAGCATAAACATATCTGGCAAAAAATGATCGGGTGAAAAATCTGGTCAGTATTATCCCATTTTGACCACAACTTTGCTCAGACAGAATTGAATTAATTATATTACAAGATATATGATAAAAATCCCAACATAACCCGTTCAATTGTGGGAGAAAAGTTTTTGCTTAAAAAAAAAATCAGAACAATTTTAAGGTTACCAAGTTGTGATATGAGGTTTTCAAATAAACTACCCATCTAGAAGTTATTTTTTAAGCGACAGTGTTTGTTTTTTTTTGAAATCAGTCTTTTCATAAGTAATTACAAAAACCAAAAAAATTTATATATTTTTTTTGGTATGGCGGGTTATATATTTCTTTTTTTAAATAATTTTGTACTAAAAATTGAAATAGGTTTTCGTTTACAAGAGCGATTTCTGGGCCAGGTTAAAAGGCCCTTATTCGTAAATAGCTTGAATTATATTGGGTTTTTTGTTATCAAAAATATGAGCAATTGAAATTTTTATCAAATATATTACTGAAAATGATCACAGGTGAAGTTTTTTAAATTTGAATTGAAGACATCTTTAGCTTTCCAATGAAATGAAAAAATTTGTCAAAAGTAGCTAGATAAAAAATCATGTTCTGTCTGGAGAAAATACCAACCGAGCTCAAATGATCCATAATTTTCTTCGAAATTCGGAACAAGGACCATTAGCAAAAATTTCTAAATCTTCGTTTCTTAGAAAAATCAGGCTACTAAAACAAAAAATCAGTTTCGAAGCAATCAAACCAGCATAAATTTAGATAGCAAAAATTGACGTGGGCGAAAATTTTTTGTTCAGTATCAACTCAGCTAAACTAATGTATAAATTGGTTGTGACATTTCTAAATTGAACCAAATTGTTATTTTAGTCATCGCGTGTGTCTGGAGAAAAATAAAAAAAAACATTCTTTTTTTAGTATAGATTTTAACTTCAAAATTGAAAAATTCTTTTTTTAGTATAGATTTTAACTTCAAAATTGAAAAACAAATATTTTCATTTTTTAATCTATAAGATTAATTAGTTTGTGTAACGTTCTAAACACCCACCAATTTGAAACAATTGTTTTTGAAATAGCAGTTTGATTACTCTCAAAAACCTTTATGCTGAAAACCAAATTAGATTGTCAGGAGAGAGCAGAATAAAATGAATTTGGCGATGGTAAGCGATGATGTTTCAATCTATTTGCAAAAAAACTTGGTTCAAAGATTTTTTCAAGGCATTACGTTTGACTTAAAATTTCACCATTTACGGTCGTGATTTGTATAACGAAATGATATCTGCAATATGCTCAAAAATTTGTCACTAAGAATCAAGAAAATAGGGAAAAAATTATAATAAAAATTCAGAAAAGTTTTAGATTAACCACATTGTGATATTAGGGTTGCTGATAAATTACCGTTCATGAAGTTGCTTTTAAGCCACTCTGTTTGTTTTCTTTCGAAATCAGTCTTTTCATAATTAATTAAAAAACCAGAAAGTTTTAGAAACATTTTTTGTTATAGCGGGTTACATAGGTGACTAAACAAGCTTTGCAGTGATCTGGTTCAGCTTCAAACAATGATGCAATATTAAAAAAGAATGATTTTTTTTATTTCAAATTATTATACCAAGTGATATATTGCCATTTAAAAAAAAAATGATGGAATGACCAAAATAACTTAGATATAAAATTTTCATTTTTTGTTAATATATCATTTCTTTTTTAAATAAAAACGGAAATGGATATTTTCATCTAAAATAGCGATTTCTGAGCCAGATTAAATTGCCCTTACTCCCTAATAGCTTGCAATACATTGGGCTTTTTGTTATTTCATATAAAAACAATCAATATTTTATCAAACTTATCATTGAAAATGATCACAAGTGAAGTTTCTTTTCAAATTTGAGTTGGAAACATTTTCAGCTTTCCAATGAAAAGAAAAAGTTTGCCAAAAGTGGCTAGATAAAAAATCAAGTTTTGTCTGGAGAAAAAACCAACCAAGCTCAATTTTTCCATAATTTTCTTTGAAAGTCGGAACAACGAGCATTGGCAAAAAAATCCAAATCTACCGTTATCAGAAAATCAGGCTAGTAAAACAAATATTCAGTTTCAAATCAATCAAACCAGCATAAACTTAGGCAGCAAAAGTTGACGTGGGTGAAAGTTTTTTGTTCAGTACTAACTAAGTCTAGGTAATGTATAATTTGGTTGTGGCATTTATAAATTGATCTAAACTGTTATTTTAGTCATCGCATTTGTCTGCAGACAAATTTAAAACATTCTTTTTTATATTATAAATTTGATCTTCAAAAATGAAAAATTATAAAGCGAAAATTATTTTCACTTTTCAACCTATAGAATATTGTAAGGTTTTTTACCGATTTTTTTTGAGAGTATATTTTTTTTGGATTTTTAAACTTAACTCTAGGTGATCGGATTCATCTGTGCTACTTGCACAGCAACCAGTTGTTCTTGTTTTTCCAACATTTGAAAAAATGTGGAATATTTGTCCTTGGGTGAAATTTTTTATTCAACCAAAACTCGGCAATTGAAGTTTGTCTTTTTAGCAAAAAAAATCTTTTATCAAATGCAAAAGTTTCACTTCCGTTTTGTGTACTTTTTGGGGTTTGAAAGTTGCCAATTTGGTTTTGAAGATTTGACTAAGGTTGCTGAAAATGTAACGCAATTTATTTAAGCGTGGCGAGCTATCCCGCGCTAAAAGTTTGTTCCAAACTGATTTGTTGCAAGCATATCGATCGCATTATTTTTGCATTAATCAAATTTTTCGTAAGATGTTTGATGCAGTTTAAAATTTATGGTTTTTTGATTTTTTTTTATCGTCAAATACTCGATACGAATTACGGTGCAAACGAAACATTCAGAGTTTTGCCCTGATATACGAACATTCTGGTTATTTTTTTTTGAAAATTGTGTTTCATCATAATTATTTCAATTATCATAATTTTTGTTATTTTTTTTTGATGACGGACAAAAAATTTGTAGATGGAGTGGTTTAATAAGCACATCGAAAATTTAAAAAATTTCAAGATCAATACTGTGGTTCTTTTATCAAATACGAAAAAACTTTATCTCAAAATAAATGATCAAAGAGTACAAAAATTCTACAAATGCAAGAAAGAGTCAGCTCGCGAAACAAGATTAAATAAATACATTTGTATCGAAAGATTTTTTCGTTTAATTTTCTGAAAAATTTAACTAAATTCTGAAAAAAAAATTTTTTGGTCAAAGGAAACGTACTAAGTTTTAATTAACGAGGATCTTTCCTTTTATTAATGGAAATTTTACTTTATTAATAGAATCCTACTTTGTGCTACTTGCACGGCCACTTGCCTCATATTCTGTGCTACTTGTAGGCCACCGGCTATCATTTTTGCTGTTACAAATGATGAAAAAAATTGAGAACAATTAAAAGAGTGTGGCTACTTTTTATGGAAAGGCTCGAAACATCGTTTGTTTGTTTTTTTTTTGCTTTTTTTGTTTCATTTTTTTTGCATTTGATAATTGGTCGGAATATCCTGTGATACTTGCCTCGCAATTGAGTACGCTCATTTCACACGTATTTAGGCATAGTATTGAAATAACAGTATATGCATCCC